ATCGAGGCTCAGCTTCGTTTCAGAGTCTTTGATTGAAGCTAATGACATTGCATGGGAGGAAATGGCAGGATCAATACAGATATTTGTATTTGTCCCAGTGATAGCATCTCTGAAAATCTGGACTGTGATGCAGTAGCAGTACTTTAAAGGATTAAAAATCCTGCCATTTTTACTGAATGATGTGCAGGTCTGGTAGTAATATTTAATCCCAATGTATGCTCTTGGATCATCATGCTTTTCACATTAATCAGATCAGTGTAATGTTCTGTTTACCAAGAACTAAGATTGTGTATCGCACTGTATTGATGCCTTTGAATCTGGCAGACTCATTGCTGGCATATGCTTCATGCTGGGTGATGTATTTTGATGAACTTGTTTTCATACATTTATGCAGGTTTTTAGTTTGTCACTTTTTTTTTCATTGTAAATGATAAATGTATTATAAGCATATTATCCAAAAATGATTTAGCATTACCATTCAAACATGTTTCTATAAATTGAGTCTGTTCAATACCCAAGAAGATCTGTTCAATACTCAAGAAAGCTTTTTCATCACTCAATTATAACCCAAATCCCAAAGTCCTCATCATTTCATTTAACAGAGAGAGCATGAAGTCTGTACCTACCTAAGCCCTCTGCACTTCCACAATAAACACTTAGGAATCAGGCTTACCCCACAGAAATGCGGAGTCAAGGCAGTTCCCAAGTTATTGTAGCAAGACTCAAGGTGTGTTGCAAACTACTGTACAATTTCTCATGGCTTCACAGACCATGCTTCTTTAGCAGATAAAGTCCCTCACAGAAGACGACAACAGATAGATAATGATTGAAAGCCTGGAGATAGATTCACACTGTCAACTTTCCGGCTGCCTACAGCAACTCGGTTAAAAGGTGATACAGAGTAGAGCTTTATTCATTTTCCTTCAGACTTCTTTACCCATCACCATTCTCCATGCTCCTGACATAGTTGCTTTAGGTTGCTCTGCCAAAAATGAGGGAGCCTGAACAAGGGCCAGTGTGTGTGCACAAAGGCTTGAAGTCTGCCAAATTTGAGGGTGATTTTGCCTTGTTTTTAAAAGGTTTTCTCCAGCTTTGCCCTAGCCTTTCACTCTTTTGCTGAAAAAGAGAGTTAGGGCATAAGCAATGATTTTGGAATATATCCTCAGTCAAATGCAAAATATGTAAAGATGGTAACAATCATAACTAATTCAGTAGGTAAAAACAATTCCATGTATACACAAAAGTAATATCACTACATTTTAAGAAATGTATCCTGCATTGTATTTTAAACTACCTTAAAAATTCTTTTTTTTCTGTGTATGGTACAGAAGCATACAACTGTTCAGGGAAAAAAAATGCAGACTTGTTGCTCAACACATGCAACAGTGCCCTTTGATATCTTTTTTCTGGACTTTGTAATAATGCTGTGACTACTGCTGTTCACAAATATTTTATTTATAAAAACTATCCTCCCACAGGGCTGTTGCAGATGATCTGCAAGCTGAAGACTAGCCTGTAAACTCCACTCGCTCTAGGAAATGGCACTGCTGTTTTTAAATATCAGTGCTTGTACTGGGTTTTTTAATAACTAGTAGTGTGCTCCCAATTTCAGTATATGAAGTAAAGGGATCTAGCTATTGGGTAAAGTGTTGAATAACAGTTTAATGTTCAGTCTTTCTGTGAAATGCTGTTATGCTCTATGATTGAGAAAACCTAGGAAAACAGTCTAAATACCTTCATGTTAGCATGACAGATAGAATTATTACTATTTACAGATTACTATTTACTATTACAGATTATTACTTTTTGCAAGTAAAAATTATCATTTCATATCTCGGAAAGTTCAGTGCTCACAAACCATGATTTGTTAGTAGCTTTTGAATGGGAGCAAAATGGGCATTAACACTCAGAAACGTAAAGTTTAATAGATTGAGTTTTAGTGACCAAAAATGGGAAATTTAAAGAGTGATGAAAACCCTGGAATAGTGTTTATCAGAGTCTAATTTTATACAGGGAACAATTCAAAGAGTTCCTATGTAGGTTTTTTTATGTTAACCCTTCTCTAATCTCCATTATTAGAGATCTTTCTTTTCTACTATTAACATGATATACTGGAAAAATGACAGCAGTAAGTTAGATCAAAGGCCTATCTAGTCTGGTATATATCTAGCAGTGGCTAATACATTAGGAAAAAATTTAAGAACAGGAAATTTGGAAACGATATTTCTGTCTGGTATTCTCTCCACATCTTCAGCAACCTGCAAGAAAGGAACTTTTTGAAGAAGCTGTTGAGTGTAGATCCCACAATATTTAATAAGCACTCCTGTACTTGTTCGTGAACTTGTCTAGCGTATTTCTAAATGTTGCATAATTTTGGCAGCCAAGGCACCTCACTGAATTTCACAGCTAAAATACAGTTTCCTTGAATCTGTCCTTAACTCACTGTGTTACAGTTAGTTGTGGCCCCTCAGCTTTTCCTCTGTGAGAAGTAGTGAGTTATCATTTCTCACTTCTTCATGGTGCTCATGAAAATACACACATCTCCGTATCCCACGGTCAGTCATCTTTCTATCAACCTGAAGCTTGCAATCTCCCGATACATAAAGAACTGTTTTCCACATCTGTATTAATTCATGTTTATCAACACTGAATTTTGTCCAATGCTTTATTGCCCAGTCACAAAAGGTTTTTGAAGTTCTTTAAAGTTTTTATACTGATTACGCCGTGTAGCTTTTTATCAGCAGTACATTCTGTCACTTTGCTCTTCACTAACATTTCGTGGTTTGGTTTTTTTTAATGTTGAACTGTACAAATTCTGCCTTAGATCCCTGCTGAATTCACCACTGATCTGTCTCCATAGTGAAAATCAATCCATCTATTCTTACCTTTATTTCCTACCTTTAACTAGTTATTAATCCAGAGGAGCTATCTGAAGCATTCTGAGAATCTAATCAACCAAGTAATATTCAACCATATCCTCATGCATTCCTCAAAATGACAATAATCTCATGAGAACTCTACAAAAGCTATCTTGATTTCTTTTCTTCATTATAACATTTTAATTCATTTATCTATCATTATATCTTTTGTTAGAATAGTAGCTAATTTGCCTAGTATGGAATCAGATTTCTATGGGTCTCTCCTCCCAGGGAAAATTATAGGTTTTAATTAATGTCTTGTTTAACACTTTTTATTATTCTGGTGTTGAGGCTGATTTAAGCAATAGGTATGTGTATGTCCTTTAAACCTCTTGAGCAAGTACCACTTTCTTGACTGATTCATTTCTGACTTTGTTCTAATTCTCCTCTAATGATGTTTCAGTTTGGGACTGTTCCTCTGTCTTACCTAGAAAATAAAGATGTTGATGTATGTCTCTGCTGAAGGTCTTCCTTAGTGACCACCATCCCAAGAATACATTTCACCCATCTACTGTTATCTTTTATTCCTTGAACTCTTTTAACTCTAGTGTGCGGGGTTTTTAAAAAAAATTAATTAATTAATTAATTAAAAAGAAGCATGTAATTATGCTTCTTCCCACTATTTTATTGGAAGGGTACAAATAGAAATAATAAATTCTGTTTGGAAAACAATATAATCTGTGGAAATGTGGTACCTGAAATCTGTGCTCTGTTACCTTTGTGCAGTCCTCATAAAATAAAGCAAATGACTAAGCTGTATTTTTTGTGCCTATACCCTGACATATTTTGGCTCTTTTATTTTAGAAAATTGTTTCAAATATCTTGGCACTGTGCAAGTTAACATTACAGTTGATTTTAAAGCCAGGTAGTCATCAGCTATTTGTAGGTGCAGGGAGGGTGTCAAGTTGATGCTCTTGGGCTGCAGCACTGAACAGGTTTCTGTGTCAGTGGCAAATGAGCAGGATACAGAGTGACTGCAAAACAGCTACGTACTCCTGTGCTATCCAAGGGAATTTCTGACAGGCATGTCAAATTACAGAGGCCATGATTCTGCTTTTAATTAAGAGCTATATGTTAGAGACATCTGTATCTACCTTCTTGCATGTTGAAAAGTCCTGGGAAAGCTTCTACAGTAATCAGCATCAGAATACAACCTTCTGGGTTAACTAAACTTTTAGTGATTTACTGGTTCTTCACTGTATTGTCTTATTAGTCATTTGAGAAAAAGTGCTGTATTGTTCATGACTATTTCTGCTCTTCATTCTTCCTCCTTCATTATTCTTTTCACATTTTTGCTGTCTTCAGGGTTTTCTTCCATCTTTTCTCTGAATTTCTTTTCCCACAGGGACTTCACTCCTAATTCTTTCCTCATAGCACTGGTTCAATAATCAGAGATGAAATTTGGCTTGATAGCAATGTCACTATTTGAATTTAGAGATAACATCTTCATCAAATTGGGAGTGGAAGAAGAAACTTACTCCTCAAGGGACATTGCTTTAAGTTGTCTGCTCATTTAGGCAAATACCACTGCATTACATATTGGAGGAACAATGTGAACCTCTGGGGAAACAAATGGAGGGAATAGTTCAGTGAAACTATCCTACAAGTCTCTGTGTATTTGAGAGAAAGGAAAAGAAAGAAAGAGTTTGGAATACATAAATGCAATGAAACAGTACAATCAGCAGTAACATCAGCGCTCAAAGAAAGATAGATTTGCATCTTCTAAGAGTTTTGCCTGGTCACCCAATAAGGGGGGTCAGGGATTCAAAAGAAATTGAAAATCCAGTTTGTGATCCTTTGTGGCTCTTTTTTTGGCTGATCTTCTGTTTGTAAAGCAATGCTTAAAGGTGGTAGGCTTGCTGAATTGTTTTGGAATTTTTGGATGTGGTGTGTGTTTTGTGGTATTTTGTGTGAGCTTTTCAAAGTTATCTTTAAAGCTCTCATAGTACATTTTTGCCAGATTACATTTTCTCACAATTGTATGATGTATGTTTAAATTAAAATGTCATGGTTTGTTTAAATGCTTGAAAAAAAATTTAAAGAAGTAAAAATGATGAAAAATTCATGTCCTTTTCTTGACAGCTTAACTTTTAATTTTTTACTTTATGGTGTCCTCAGCCTGCTGATTTTCCTATTTACTTTCTTTACGTAGTCAAGACCTACATTTAAAAGAACAAAACATAAAAGTACGTAAGTAAAAATTTAACCTTCAATTTATATTATATAACCTTGTATTAAGGCCTTGTCTGCAGATGTCAGGCCTCTTTGCTTTCAAGTTAGTTAAGTAGCATCATTATGCAATTATAAAAAAAAATAAAATCAAAACCAGACAGATATCCTTTTGAGCTTGCTGGTGTGAGCTTTGCATGCAATGAAATACTTAGCGAAAGTTCCAAATCCCACCATAGTTATCAGAGTGCATACACCTACACAGATGAAGAAACACCAAGCTAGAAGACCTTTAAAGTTAAAGGATAATGTTGATAGAAGAAGAGAGGGGGTTTTATGAATTGGCTCATTGATTTAGGTCAGGAAATAAAGGTAGAGAAGTCTTGAAAAAATCCTAACATAAAGTGTTAGGGACTTCTGTTAAGGTAGGATTTAATACTTACATAAACAAGATTCTAATATGTGACTGCTACAGTTAGATTATGATCCTAAAAACACAGAGGGTGTTGATTCAAACTTATAAACTAAAAAATGAAGATTCTCAGGCACTCCTTGATGCCTGATTCAGTTTTGGGACAGCAGTTTATGATTCACTTCATAGTTTTTCATGGCATGTTTCAAGACTATTGAGGATCCAGTTATTTGTGCTTTTAATTTCTCTCACCCTCTTTTTTTTCTTTTTTTTTCTTTTTTTTTTTCACTAGTTAACATTTTTAGGAGTGAGGTTCAACCATAATTTTAGTATAGCTGGGGAGAGATGGAATACAAGTGTAGTTTTAAGATTTTTAATTCCCTTGGTGACTTGAGTGAAAGGTAAAAACCTCAGCCTAATATTTTACAGAAAATATATGGCTGTACAAAAAGTGTTTCATTAGAAACACCAGGATTCAGTTGCCACTATTGGAAGAATTCTGTTCTTCAGGTTATTAAAATTGCAACCATTTAATACCAATCCCCCCAGTGGTTAATAAAAAAACTTGAGAAGTTTGACAAAGTTAGGATTCAGTCCGCACCTGAACTACTAATTTGGCAGTGATGCAGCTCACATTAAATTGTTTACACTCACTTTTGGTCAACAACAAACATATTAGCAACCTCAGCAAACATATTATTTGACATATTAAAAAATATTTAGCATTGTCTTCAGAAATTTAGCTGTCCATAAACAGTTTTGGAACTCTTCAAATAAATATCTCACATTTCATAATTCAAACCTCTCTACAAAAATTGCTTTTAAAATGCCAGTAGCTGTAGTCTTTATTTATTTGTAAGTCCTTTGTGCATGTGTGAGTGTAATTAAACTTCAGAATAAGTTATAAGAAAATACTCTGGTTTCTTACAGCATTTCTTAAAAGCTCCCAGGGAACTGAGTTGTAAATACTGCTCTCTGTGACATGTTTTTCCTATAAAATCAGAAAACCAATTTCCTTGTAAATTTGCTTTTTCATATAATTATTAATTGTGATGTTTTTTGCCATTACAGACAATAATGGGAGTGGAAATAGATCTAAAAGATATGTATTTGAGAAGTCTGTATTTTTAATGTCAGTGAATTTACTTAGTGATCTCTAAACTAGCAGCGTCCTAGAAGACTACAGAATGATTTCTGTTTCTGAATTTCACTTAGACATTTAGAATTGTGATTAGTAAGGAAGACCAAAATTCAGAAGTGATTTAGCTACTGTGCAGATGTGCCTCTGTGGATATTCTGGTATGAATCAAGTAACATTACCAATAACATAAGTAACACACCAAAAGGTGACATTCAGTTGTGCTTCAAATCCATCTCTTGGTCTGTTCAAGTCATTTGCATGGCATTTGGTACTGTCTTAACTGATCTTTCCCTTCACACTGTATCCAGCTATTACAAAGAACTAAACTTACCCTTAGTCCTTGTGGAACTTTACAAGAAGGCTGGCTCTGGGATTGTGTTTCTCCAAAAGTGCCTACTTTGGAGAAGATTCAAGCTGTGTTTAAGTCTTACTGTTAACTTATTGTGGACTCCATCCATTTTGTTGAGGTGAGACAGCAATTTTTTGTAGTTTCAAATGCTGAAGAGTGGTCCAAAGGAACAACTTCTCTGTCTGTCCTCTAAGTGTTGATTAAAGGAAATCTGATCTCACAGCCTCACAAGCCAAGTATGGTTACATGTCTTGGCTTGAATTTACACTGTACTAAAACTCTAAGAGTGGCTTCTAATTAGAAATTCCTTGTGGTAAGTCTTTGAATATGCCATCTTATGCCAACATAAGAAGTGGTTTTTGGGGAGCATAGTACTTGACTACAAATGATGTGTGTATCGATGATGATTGATCAACATCATTTGTGTCAGTAAAAATAGAAGAGAATATTCCTTTTTTAAAGAGTTATTGCTTATCTCATCTGCACTCAGGAAGGAGTAAAACCATACAGAAATATCAATTATAATGATTAGTGTGCCTATCAATAAGGTGCACAAATTGGTACTTAGATTTGGATTAGTATTAGAAAAATAATCTTGTGAAAGTTTATTTGCATATTAAACAATTATGATAATGAAGAACACTGCTGTTACAACACATGCTTAAAGTTCTTACCCAGAAGTAAAATACACAAAAACTAACGCTGACTTTGGTTTCAATTCTTTCAAGTAAACAAACTTGCAGATAGGTTCAAAATATTTAATTTCTATTGAAATTGAAGTCAGTGACTAGAAAGGGAAAATGTTCGTCGCGGCTTACCCTAAAGGAAGAAATATTGGGCTGATGAAAGCAACCTATAGAGAACGTGAAATAACAGCCAAGTGCTGGCATATTAGGAATGTCTCTTCATAGATGTGCAAGTTTTATTTCACATTGTCCTCACCCTTCTCAATAAGAATGACTGATAGCTTCACTTTGTGATTTCCCCGCTTTTAAGAGTCTATTTTTATTTATTTTTTATGACCAACCTTACACATGTTAAATGTAATTTTTGCTTTATGTAACATAAAAAAGAGCACATCTGCAGTATGCTGTCCCATGAATTAACAGGAATGACTGGACATAAGACAAAAATCCTTTAAAAACATATGTTCACATTAAATATCTGGGCTATCTCAGTAAAGGAGGTCTTATGGGGTCATTTTTGATGCAGTGCAAGTAAACCATTTCTGCTCTTCTGAAATAGTTTCTTTCAGGTTTATATTGAGCTTGTATAAAGGCACATTACATAAATAAGGGCTTAGTTTGTACATTAGTTGTTTATATCTTGGATTCTCACTAAATCCTTGTTTTTACCAACTTGGTGCTTAAGAGAGATTGATTTCTGCTACACATCTATGGTGTTTATTTTGATATGCCTGGGATTAAAAACAAAATTAACACGCATAATCAATTTTCTTAGAATTAAAAAGGGTGCTTTGGTACCTTTGGCTACATGGTTCTGAAGAAAAAGGAGAGTAAAAGAGATGTGATAATAAAGGGATCGATTTATTCAATCACTGGGCATAAAAACATTAGCCCTGGGAAAGACCCTTCCTCTAAGAGCTTTAGCTGCCCAGTCTCACTTGTGTGGCACAAAATAATTTGCATTTTTAGAGAAATTTCATGTCTTCTGTGAGATCTAGTGAAACATGAATAAATTGCTTTCTTTTCCCCTTTTTCTGATTTTTATAAAGCTGAATCCATTAGGGGCTGAGTCAGACTGTAATGAAAGAAAGGCAACAACTGAGATGATGGAAACCCTGGATTAGATTTCTTAGTAGTCCAAGCCCAGCTGTCATGGCCTACGTGTCAAGTTAGTGCTCTTTGGGGAGGCTTGACAGTACATGTGAATATTTTTTTACCTGCTGTGTTACAACAGGTCTCTAAAGCAGCTAGGAATTAAAGAGAAGCAAAGATTAAGAATTAAATAGAGCCACAGCAAGCAGTTCACCACAGAGGTTTGCAGTCAGACAAGTAAACCTTTTCAGGCCTGCGAGCCCACTGCCATCTGCCTGGCAGGCTTGCATGTGACCCACCATGCCCTCTTTGTGCACACCGAGTTTATATGATTGCTGAAGATGCGTGTAAAGGATGTGGGTGCTCATGTCACTGAGTGCACTGGCCTTGTACTGCTCTAGCAGAGCCTGTCAAATTCACCACAAACCAATGCTCAGTTCAAATAAAGCCTCTGTGGATGGCTGGCATTTATATTCTTCCACATTACATACATTCTTAGCTAGTTCATAATATAACAGGTACAATCTAAACAAAATCTAGAAGAAGCCAAAGTACTTTCAAGTTTTATGCCTAATAATTGAATTTGCACACCAGGATCAAATAGCTCTGCTATTGGAAGAAGGGCAAACCTCGAGATCTGTGCCTGTGAAATATACCTTCTTGCTAGAATGAGGTTTTGCTTGGAGATTCTTAAACCTCCAGGTGGGACTGTCTTATTCTAATTTATAGCACGGAATTTTGTCATTCATTTTTGTCACTGGCATTTCAAATAGCAGCAAATGTAACTGAAATGGTGTCTTCTCCTTTGGCTGATGCCTTTGTAAGGGACTGAACTGAGAGTCAAACTGTCCCCTAACAGTCTAACTTATGGCAGCAACACAGAAATAACCCCGTTTCATTTTTCCCCTTCCATCATGGCTGGGGGGAAAGGTACAAAAGAAACCAAATCCTTGCTCTCCTACCCTCAGGCCTAGAAGTCCATGCCCTCCTTCAGTCTCAAGTCTCTGCCATACTGGAAGTATCCAGTGGTGTCTCTCATCTCACCCTTGTCACTGCAGTCAAGGAATACAGTGGCAGAGCAACATCTTTTACTTTATGAAAATATTTGTTTGCCTAGTAGATGTTTCCAAGCTCTGCTGTTCCTAGAGCAATGTGATTGATATGGCATAGTTCAAAGTGAATTTAAAATTACTGAAGTCAAATGTTTTCTTAAAAGGCCTATTTTGAAGCAATTTGGCTAAGCTGACATAACAACGCTGACTTCACTGAAGCTGCATTGGTTGCATCACTTGAGGGTAGGGCTCAGATTAGCCAAAGCAACTATTTTCAAATTCTAGCTTC